TTGGTTCTCCTGCCCCTCTGTGTGCCTGAGGTCAAGAGTAGAGCTTTCTCAACATTACTGCTCTCCCCCAGCCCCTGTGGGAACCAGGCTCTGCCATATGGCCCCCTCACCCTGTGGCCGCAGAACTCTACATCAGTGCATGATTGTGGGTATGAGTAGGTTTCCTGACGGCCCCGGGAGACATACATGTTTTTCCTAGTGTCAGTACAGAGTGGGAGTGCAGTTTTCTACCCCCTGCCCTTTAGCCACTGCCCTTTGCCTGGGACTGCCCTGGAGGACCGGTTTCTCCTTCTCCCCGGGGGGGCAAATGACTTCTGCTTCCTATGAGAGAGGGTCCCAGAGGCAGCTTATGTTTGCCACCTGCCTCCCAACAGCATCTGGTCATCGTCTCTCTGCCCTCCTGCACCATTGAGGCAAACTCTCACTGGGCGTCTGGCCTGCTCCCAGTATTCTTAGGAGCGCCTGATGGAGACCAATGGAAGAGATCTAGAAAATTGGGTACCTGGCGCCTTACAGGGGCAGTTCTCAGGGATTCTAAATTCTCACATTAGTGAGAATTCACCTTTTCACATTCACCTTTTCAGAATTTGTTAACATTTTCCTTGTCTTCTTCTTTTCTGTTTTTGTCTGTCACCTCCATCTGTTGTCACTGTCACTCTTCCTCCTGTCCCTGTAAAAGGCCAAGCAGTTCATGTATCCCATCTCTCCTTGGATGAGCTTGTTATCCTCTGGAATTCAGCTCCTCTGGCTGAATCACAATCAGATCTCTGATGAGCCTTGAAAAGTGATGATTTTGTAGATTATCTAGATTTCTCTCACTGTTAGGGTGGGTACAGAATTCTCCTGCCGCGGTCCAGTTGAAGAGGAAGCAGACGATTTTTCCTCTCCCTGTCACCACCACTCTCTGTTCTCTTCCTTTGTCCTGTTTTTTTTTTTTCCTTTATAACACTTAAAACTGCCATTATATTGTATTTATTTATTGTCCATCCCCTTTACCAGAATAATAATACCATTAAGATAGAATACTTAGTTATTTTTTTCATTATTGCATTTCTGACCTGTAATAGAAACTCAATACAAATTGTTGAATAAATGCTTGCAGTGAATGCCAAAGATGTGACATTTTCTCCAATATCTTGCATTAGCTTGTTTTCATAAGAATGTGGTTGCTCTGAGGCTGTTCTCTCTCTCTTGTTCTGCCGTATTCTTCATATGTCCCATTTTGATTATGTTCTTACTCATCTTTGAATCAGGCAAATCTATTTGCACTCAGTGTCTCTGTGTGCACCAGTAACAAAGAAGTAAGGGGCTTGTCCTTGAGGCTGCTCTCTGTCTACCCTTGATTTGGTTTATCTCTGCTCTCAGACCCACAGCTGGCCTGGAGGAGCTTGTGAACCACTGCCAGTCGAATTGTTCATTGTAGCAGGTGTGGCTGCGTTTCTGCCCTACTGTGCTAGGTTCTCCCCCTCCCGCCCTCACCCCCACCCCAAGGCCTGAGTCTTTGGTAGTCAGGGCTCATGTGTGCCTCACAAATAACAACCTTCATTTCAGATCATCACAGTTCCCCTTTTCCTTCCCGTTTTGGTTTGGCTACTATTGCTGCTGCTATGGTGTTAATAATTTTTACTCTTGACCGCATTTTGAAGACATGGTGGTGAAAAGGGAGGTGAAGGGTGGGGAATTGGTCAGTGCTCTGCCTGCCTCAGAGGGCAGTGCTCAGATGGGTAAGGTTCTAGGCCATGTCACTGTGCTAAGGGCCCCATGTCAGGTAACAGGCAGGAAAGGGACTGTGTATTCCTCTTTTATCAGGCGATTCTTTTTCACAAAACTGGAGCTTTCTGTGTTTCCAGGTAGTCCATTTTATTTCATTTTCCTAAGTCAGATCCAAATGTATTCTAGGCAGTGTTCATTTCTGCCTGACCCTGACATAAGGCATGGGGAGTCTGTATGCTTTACTGATTTGTCCTTTGTGAGGCTGCAATAAGGAAGGAGACCTTGGACATTATTATTTTCTAAGGGTAGTAGAGCTCTTACAATTAGGAATACTCAGGTTCATTAAAAATGCTCCCATATTGTCTCAAAATCATAACTGCTATCCCAGGGTGGCCCCCAATATATTTTCTGATTAAATATTAAAATAAGCTCTCATGATCTAAGTGGTTTGTAACCATTCTTCTCTAGCACTATGCCAAAAGCCTTATCTTATGGGATATCATTTAGTTTCCCATCATCCAAAATCATTTTCCCCATCTTTTAATTATTTGTTTAACTAATAATTCTGGGTTGGACAATGGAGACATTTTAGGAAACATAAATATGTGTGATTATAAAATAACATCAATTATTCTGAGGGATAAAATAATAACTGCCTTGATTTAGTTACTCTTATGTGTTAACTGGGAAAAAGTTCATTAAAACAGATTTTGATACTTTTAATCCACTGTAACTCTAGCTTCATTGGGAAAATGGCTCTGAGGATGGTGAGAACATTGACTAATTGGTTTGTTCATCCCACATGGGATTACACCAGTTTCTGAATCAGAAATTCCTGCTATTGCAACATGGTTTCTTCTTTCTTCTTTTTTTTATTCTTTTCCTTAGAAACAATCCATTTGGGTTCATTACATGGCCATTTGTTAGTCTTGTTAGTTACAAGGCGTTGTACTTGTTTGTGACTATAGTGAAGTCATGTAGGCCAGGGCTGTGTGTGTGTGTGTGTGTGTGTGTGTGTGTACAGACTCAATGGGAGATCCTGCAGCTGCTCAGGGCAACAGGCAGCACCAAGTGTCACTCTGATATTTCAGAACCCAAATCCTGCTTTCCCAAAGTCATGGGGCATTTTTATTTCATTCATCAAGATCAGTTCAACTTTGGTTTGCTTACTACATGTTGTACATAGACATCAATCTGCTTAACTTTTGAAAGCTTTTTATTGATGTGTAATATTCTCAGAGAAAGTACACAGATCCTGAGTGTGTAACAAGGTAAGCTTTTTTACAAACTGAGCACACCTGTGTAACTGGTACCCAGATCACAAAACAGAAGTGACCGCACCTCAGAAGCTCTCCTTATTAGCCCCTTCATGTCACTAACTCTTCTCACCTTTCACTCATTCTCCTGTTTTAATTGTTTTTATATTTTATATCCATGAAATTATACATGATACATTATTTTTTTGTCTGGTTTCTTTCATTTTTCATTATGTTTATGAGATTCATTTCCATTGATGATATATTGTGTTTGTTCATTCTTACGGCTGTGTAGTGTTCTACTAATCAATATAACACAATTTATTCATTCTGCTGTTTAACAAGCATTTAAATAGTTTCCTTTTGGGAAAGGGGATGGGGGCATTCTGAAAATTCTAGTACATCTCTTTTGGTGAAAGTATATATACATATACATTCCTGTTGGAAATATATAGGAGTGGAGCTGTTGGGGCATTGGGCATGTGTTTGTTCAGATTTAGTAGATAAACCAGTTTTCTGGAGTGGTTGTAAGCATGTACACTCACAGCAGCAATGTGTGAGAGTTCTAGTCACTCCATCTCTTCACCAATATTTGACCTTTTCTGCATTTTTTTTTAAAGATTTTATTTATTTATTTACTTAACAGACAGAGATCACAAGTAGGCAGAGAGGCAGGCAGAGAGAGAGAAAGGAGGAAGCAGGCTCCCTGCTGAGCAGTGAGCCCGATGCGGGCCTCGATCCCAGGACTCTGGGATCATGACCTGAGCCGAAGGCAGAGGCTTTAACCCACTGAGCCACCCAGGCGCCCCCCTTTTCTGCATTTTTAATTTCAGTCCTTTTGCTGAATATATATTGAATGTGCTTTAATTCTTATTTACTTAATAATTGTGAACCTGAGTACCCTTTCATATGTATTTGTATATCTTTTTTTGTGCATTGTCCATTCAAGTCTTTTGCCCATGTTTTTATCAATTGGCTCTCTCTTAATTCTGTTTGATAGGAATTCTTTATATAACCTGGGTATAGTTCCTTTTGTGTGTGTTTGTATTGGAATTATCTTGGTTGCCTTTTCACTCATGTATTGGGGTCTTTTGATAACAGACATTCCTCATTTTTTAAAAGTTAGATTTATTATTTTTTTCTTTTATGCTTTGTGCTTTTGGGGTTCAGTTTAAGAACTCTTTGCCTACTCCAAGTTGACAAAACTGTTCTATGCTTTCCTCTAACATCTTTATTTAGATTTGTAATTAATCCAATTTGGTATTGCGTATTGTATGAAATACAGGTCAAGATACAGTTTTAGCATATGGGTATCCCATTAACTGAGAATCATTTTACTTGCTTTAATTAAAATGTTTTCATAAAGTTTAGTTTCATTGAAATGTGTTTTATATTTTCCTGGAAAGAATTACTAATGATTCTTGAAAAACATTTAAACCTATGGTGATTTAAAATTTATAATCCAATCTGTAGACTTACTTAACGCTATTGTAAATGGAACGTTTTTTAAAAAGCTCTTTGTTTAGACTCTAGGTAGTAACTCCAGTATAGTTATTCAACAGCAAAGTGATTTATAATACACAAAGCATGATCATTTGTTTAAAAACTTAATTATTGTTCTCACTTTTTCATTTGAATTCAATCCAGTACATGTTTACTATATGTTTGCTAGAATTTGGGGCAGCTGAGAATGAGGTTGAAACTTTGAGCTCCATTTTATGTCATTTATGTTTTAAGCCATGTAATAAAATTGTCAAACATTGGTCAGTAATAAAACATTTTACTTTAGTATTCAAAGTTATATTAATAAAGAGAAGTACAAGGTGAGATTTTTTATTATTATCAGAATGACCTTCCACCCCTTCTGTAATGCCTTCTACCAGATTTTCCACTGGTAACGACACAGATCTTTTAAGATGTAAAAATAGAAAAAATATAAAAGTTTTAGGTCTGTATTTGGAATGACTGTGAATGCTTCCTCTTTGATGTCATTTCTGCTTAGTTTTATTTTTTCTCTTTTTATTATTCTAGGTTGTACTGGTCAGTGGACATCTGGACAGCTGGGACGTTGGGCAGGGCGCCATGGATGATGGCGGTGGAGCCTTTATATCATGGGAAGCACTCTCGCTTATTAAAGATCTTGGTAAATATTTAGAAAGTCGTTAACCAATGTGTAAGGATTTCAGTAGTGACATGTTTAACTCAACACACAAAATGCTGAACAGATAAGTTACTGTGATATGTTCAAAGAGTCTGTATGTTTTTTGTCAGTTGATTCTCAGGAAGGAAGGAATTTGTCCCCTTAAAAAAAGAAATTTTTATTCAAGTGTATGCCAGACATCCAAAGTATCAAATGTGATCAGCCGCTAGGGAAAATGAACAAGCAAATAAAACTGTAGCAAATGTAACCACATCAGCTAGAGACTATGTAAGGAAACTATGACCAAGTGCAAAGAAAAGTCAGCAGCTCCCCCTGCCTCCTTTTCCTTGTTCATCTTAAAGACATTATCTGGCTGTTAAGATAGCTTTACTGCAGCTGTCTTTCCATGGCAGAAGTCAGAGAGAGCAACATGGGACTGAAGGCTTGATCCTCTTACCCACAATAAGGAACCCAGGCTGAAGATTGGAACTTCCAGGTGAACCTAGACATGAGAAAGATGGACAGGCATAAAAAGGACAGGCACTAATAGTGAAAGTGGTTTTTGATGACCCTCTTTAAAAATAAAAAACATACATTTCCTCTTTGTGTGCTGATCAAAAGGGCAGATTTTGAATGAGGTTAGAAATAATGAAACAATCTGAAGTCGAAGTCCCACGTCTGAGTCCGAGCAGTCTGGCCGTGAAATGCCTCATGAGTAGAAGGTTTTATGTTGCAACTATGCTTCAGATACAGTAAAGATAAGAACATCCTCTTTGGTGAAGGCTTTCCATTGCTTAGTTAAACACGTATGTGTTTAAATTCATGCATTTCTTCTTGTTTTTAATGAACCCTTCTAATCCTATAAATAAGCCCATTAAATGATTGGTCATGTTAACAATAGATTCCCAACATGGTCTTGCTTGGGGCAAATCTTTGGTGTACCATTTTGATTTATGTTTTAGTTGTGTTTTAAAACTGGTAAGATAGAAAGGTGGTTGTGCTTTTTTTCCTTTTAAATAGGCTGGTGTCTCTTAACCTGGGAATACTGACATTTGGGGCTACATAGTTCTGTATTGTGGGGTCTGTCTCATGTAGGATGTTTAGCAGCATCGTGGCCTTTATATGCTGGATGGCAGTAAGTACCATCTCCCTCAAGCTATAACAACCAAAAATGTCTCCAGACATTGCCAAATGTCCCTTGGCAGGTCAGGGCTGGTGGTGGAAGAATGCATAAAATTGGTCCACTGAAATGATCTGATGAAAATCACTAAAAGACCTGATACAGGGCCATTTTTGGGGGAAAGAAAACAAGCTCATTGGAAACCTTACATTGAAGGTACTCGAACTTTTGACATCACTTCCATACTGAGCACCCACTGTGTGAAGGTAGTTTGTAAAAGCTGGACATACAAAAAGGTTTAAAGCATGTCTTCTCTTCTTAAGACCCGTAGAATAGTGTTGAAACATATACAGGTACCTGTTCATATGGGTGCCAGTATGCGTCTAATGTCAAGGTCTGGTTTTAGAATTGGGTGAGGTTTGAGAGAGATGAATTGCCCAGCAATTAAAACCCTTTTAAAACATACATTCTTCAGAGAAGATCAGTGAGACCTTATATGTAAGTCCTCTCCTCCTTCCTTTAAAAATACTCCCTTGGTAATCTGTTCATTCCAGAATGAAGTGTGTTCCAGACATGAGCCAGGCAGATATCAAACATTTTCTTCCTTTTAGGGCCCAGATACGCATTTAGGAAGTTAATTTTATTGTGATGTGTTCAGCCAGCTTGATTAGAAACAGTGGTAGAGTAACAAGAGAACCGGACCCATCTGATTTGGAGTTTGTGTCCCTCTGTGCCTCAAACTCCTTTTTTGGCATCGGGCAGGTCATTTGAACTCTCTGTTCTTCACTTTCTTCATCTCTTTTAACGGTAAGCTTCTAGAGTATTTTATCTGCTCTAGATGGGAATAAAAGTGGTGTCTTCTCTAGGCTTTGAATCTTACTTTTTTGGTACTCAGCATGAGACCCTAAATCATTGTTAACTGAGTTGGATTCAATTGCATAGATAAATGTAACACCATGCAAAGGTGAATTGCATATCTTTTTCTAACACCGACTTCTGTTGCTTTTGATAGCTAGTAACTAGTCTCCTTCAATTCAGGACTTAGCTCTCCTATAGATTTCTGAAGACCTATATAAACATATGAATAAAACTGAAATAAAGAGTAGTATTTCCTTTGTTTTAAATATTTATTTATTTACTTGAGAGAGAAAGAACAAATGGCAGGAGGGACAGAGAGAGAGAGGAAGGAGGAGAATGAGAGAATCTCAAGCAGACTCCCTGTTGAGCACAGAGCCCAAGTTGGGCCTCCATCTCACGACCCTGAGACCATGGACCTGAGCTGAAACCAAGAGGACGCTTAACATACTGAGCCACCCAGGTGCCCCAAAGAGTAATATTCTTTTGAGATGGTGTTGAGAGGCAACATGGCATACTGTTAAAAATGTATAGAACTCTGGAGCCAGACTGCCTGAGTTCATATCCCAGCCCTGCATCTTACTAATTAAGCATGTGACCTTTGCCTTTCTGTGCCTCAGTTTTCTCATCTGTTAAATTGGGACAATAATAGTTTCTATCTCATAGAATTGCTTTGAAAATTAAATAGTCTATTCTAATGTACTTAGAACAGTGCCTGACCCAACCCAAGTACTCAATAAATGTTAACTTTTTATTATATAGTAAGCCTGACTCTCACAGTACCTATTTTTTATGTAAGGGAGAATGGTAATTTTTTTACCCCCACCCCTATTAGTAATTATATTGCTTCTTCACTTAATATGTTAGTTACACTGACGTAACTCTAGGTCCAGCTGCTATGGTAAATGCTTTCACTTTACTATTTAAGCTACTATCTCTTATATGATGGAAATCCAGTGACCCCTTCACTTTTTTCAACTTTCATTTTGAGGCATCTGAATTTCTCCTTGTCACGTCCTGCCTCCACTTCTGGCTTAGGTCAAATGCCCAGTCTCCACTTTGTACCTCACTTCCTGTGTTTGTACCCATTGAGTCTTACTCTTTCTTTAATTCTAAAGTCAAAATTAGATTGGGGATTTCTATTTGTAGATTGCCTATGTGTTTTAATGCGAAGAGCTAGGTCCAACACGTGACATACGAGTTCTATTTGGAAATTACTGATACGCTTGAACAAGAAATAGGACTTTGGGAAATGGGTTCATAATTATATCACTTAATTGTATTAAGCCCAAACTGTTTAAGTGGTGAAATATGAAAGCTCCATTGCGATCTTTTTTCCAAGAAAAGTAACTCCTTTTGGCTGATGTTCCGTGGACAACATGTCATGCAGCCTGCATGTCCAAGTCCCTTAGTGAGGCTCATGAATTTGATGCTGGTCCAGAGAGGATTTCTGATATTTAGGAATATAATTCTAAGATTCATCCTTCTTCTCTCTTCTCCTTTGTTCTTTTCTTTTACTATTCTAATGGAAACACTCTTTTGTCCAGGCCATCAGCTAAAACTATATCCAATTAATCTAACAGAAGAGTTATTTGTGCTTTGCAAATATTATCAGTCATTCCTGAGTAACTGTCAACAGAAGGCTATTTGCTGTGAAGTGCTATTGAAAACATCTTTGTGTTTGTGGTTTACTGGACTCAAAACTGTTTATTTGAAATGTCATTTCCTGGAATGTTCTGGTGTCAGTGAACAAAGCCTATGGCCAAAGATGCTATGCTTCAAAATGTTCATTTGGCACTTGAAAAATAAACTACCATCCATCCCCAAATTCTTCCAATTTTACCATTTTCTGTGAAGCTAGAATTTTGAGTTTTGGAGCCTACACAAAGGAAGAAAATCAGAATTAATAGCATGACTTAGTTGTTGAAATATGGAATATATGTGAAACATCTTACTAGAGAAATTTAAACCTGAGTGTCTTAATTGTGATTATTATAGGCCTCAAAAGTCCATGTGTTAGAAAAATATATGTTTTATATATCCCTTTACTCATTCATTCAGCAAATTTTTATCATGCACTGGATTGCATGTCAGTGTTCCAGGTGCCTTGTACCAAAGAGGAATAGACACAGTCACCAAAATCCTTGAAGTGGGGGAGACATTGAATTAAAAAATTACCATTCTTTAGTTGAAATATGTTCTTTAATTGAAATATGTACAAATGACTTTGGGCACCTAGTGAAAGGAGGGATGAGGACGGTGTGGCTGGATCAGGGCATCTTCACAAAGGCAATACTGAAGCTTTCTTTTCTAAGGATAAATACAAATTCCTGAAGCAAAGGGGGCACAATGAAGACTTCCTAGCAGAGTGTGGAGCCTCTAGTCCTTCACATCATTAAAAACAAGGAGATAATTTTTGACAATAACAATCTTGGGACTGTAGGGGAAGTGAGGATTTGTAAAACTACAGGAAATGTATACTTTTTATTTAATATTTTTATATAATATTACTTTTTTATAATAAGAAAGTATTATTTGAGTAATCAAGAAAAAAAAAAAAAACCTCAAAAGCCAAAGGAATGATTCTTGGCATGGCCATTGTCATGAACATTGCGTCAACAGGAACAACAGGGCAGAAGCGGGAAGTAGGAAGAGTTATGCAGGAGTCACGAAGCCCTCCAGGCCCAGAAGTCCACAAGGGTACATAGCCACATGCATGCCAAAGCTCTGGTGCAGTTAGAGCTTCAGGCACCACCTCGAATGCAGTGGATTCTCTCTTAGAGGGAGGCATCCATCCAGGAAGAGGATTTCCTTCTCCTCAGTCAAGCCTCCCTTGGAAAAGTCCCAGAAGTTCAATCCGGAATAATGGAGCAAGGGAAATGAAAAACTCCCAATAAAATGGACACCTAAGAGGTAGAGCTAGAGACAGCTAGAGCCCTGAAGCTGGCTTGGCACTGGCCCGGACTAGAAAAGACAATCCCACTTGGAAAGGTCCTCCCCACCACCCCGGGCTTAGCCATACCACTGA